ATCTCGCCGCCCATTTTATCCATTAAATTGATATTTATCTTAACGCAATGCATATCAAAACCAGTGATAGAGTAGAATGTGAAACAGGCGGAGAGGAGGAGGAGGAGGAGAGGAGGACAGGGAAGAGCAACACCGTCACTAAGATCATCATCATCATCATCATCATCATCATCATCATCATCACCACCATCATCATCATCATCATCATCATCATCATCATCATCATCATCATCATCATCATCATCATCAGGGGCTCTGGTATGGGCTTGACGTGACTATCAAAGTCGTCAACTATACAGGAATCACAGAGACTCGAGCTGGCTGGAACGTGATACGGATAATTAACAACAGCAGTAACAACAACAATAACCACGGCCTCAGTAATAACAGCAGGACAACAACAGTAGCAGCACAGTGGCAGCAGTAGAGTCAGAAATACAGGACCCAGCAGTAACCGTACCAGCTTAAATACAACAGCAACGGAAACATTAGTAGCAGTCGCAGCAGCAGCACCAACTACGGATGTAACAGCAGTAGCAGCAGGAGCAGCAGACGGATTAGAAAGAGGATGATGGGTGAGCGAGGCTGGGCTGGGTGAGACGTGACCAGCATCCCTCACACAAGAGCGAACCTCTCCCAGCGTTGCCAGAACCTGAGGCGGACTTATGCTACCCCGGGGAGCGTTTGTTTATCGTCCTGGAGTCAAATTCACAAAGCTTCGTACATCGTTTTCAATCCTTAACTTTGGATCATTATGTCAGAGTGTTTAGTACAATGTCGACACAGTTTTGGACCTTAACTATGGAGTGAGACAAAGAGAAATTCCGACAGACTTTGATTCAATGTTGTCTCTGTTTTGGCTGCCATCTTTTTGTTCGTAGTTTAAGCGATCCAGTTAAACACGTTCTGACATCCTTCATTTACCATATGAATGTTTTAGAATCACCGCTTCCCTTATTTAAAAAAAGATCGAGTGAGATTGTCGTAGAAAGGAGCAGCGGAGGAGAAGAACAATGGCTGATTTAGATGTTAAGGAAAGAGTGAACGGTCGTGTAGACGATGAGGGAGCCGGTAAAATAGTTCATTCCAGCCATTATTCCTGGACATAAAAAAAAACCCTTATGGATACGACGTTCCGGGTAAGTGAGCAGCTAAGAACGACAAGAATGGCACAGAAAAAACACTACGATGACCCAAGGTAGTAGTGATGGGGAGTGAGGCGGAGGAGATGGTCGTGGAGGAGACGTGGGCTGCAGGAACATCAGGGAGAATGACCCGTGAAAGTGAAAGATGGTCAAGGAGACGCTGAGATACGAATAACATTGAACTTGGTGACAGCCCTAGGATGATAGCAAGATAGCTGGCCCTAAAAGAACGATGAATGGATAGCCCCTAAAAGAACGATGAATGGATAGCCCCTAAAAGAACGATAAATGGATAGCCTGTAAAAGAACGATGAATGGATAGCCCCTAAAAGAACGATGAATGGATAGCCCCTAAAAGAACGATGAATGGATAGCCCCTAAAAGAACGATGAATGTATAGCCCCTAAAAGAACGATAAATGGATAGCCTGTAAAAGAACGATGAATGGATAGCCCCTTAAAGAACGATAAATGGATAGCCCCTAAAAGAACGATGAATGGATAGCCCCTAAAAGAACGATAAATGGATAGCCCATAAAAGAACGCCAGAATATTTGACCTCTACAAGAACGCTAAGATAGACATCACCCCTAAAATAAGGCTAGCAGAGATGATCTCCTAAAAGAACGAAAAGTTAACTCCTTAAAAGAACGCCAGAATATTCGACCTCTAAAAGAACGCTAGACTAGATTGTCCCCAATGTTCTTTATGTATCTCTTAGTATTTGATTGTAATATTTCTCATTATTTCTCAACCTCCATAATTTTCCTTTTTCCTCGTACTATTCCGTATTTTCCCGTATTTTATGTAAAGAGCAGAAAATAAATTCCATTTCATAGAAAAAGGAGAAAGAGAGTTGTAATGAGTGATTGTCAGACCAAACCTTACAGCCCAGAATTATGCCGCATATAACAGCAAGAGCACTGCAGACCTCGTGGTACCACCACATTCCGGGTTGACACACCTCAGGTCGACCCAAGGGACTTGACCTCGCCCGCTAATGACGTGAGCTGGGTGACCTACAACCGCACCTAGCCAAGACACCTGGCCAGGACCACACCTGCACACAGCTATCTAGATCAAACCAGTTTAGTGTTAATTGTTAGAGGTCAGAAGCCGGCTGGGCCGACCCCATATAAAGGCCCTACAGTCCCGTCCACGGGGATTATCATTATCATTCTGATTCTGGTCATACTGATTCTCATTCTAGTTGCTGTCATCTCCCTCCCGTTCGGGTCGTCACTCGGTTCACTAAGCAGAGTCACGCACGTCCCCTCCCCAGGTCGGGAGGGAGACCTCCCGACCAGACCACGGCATCGCCAGCTAAGCAGACTCTCCCATAGGAGGCAGCCCAGCCAGCACTCACTGGGCCTACGTCAGGGTACACGTGAGTCTTGTCAGAACGTCCTAGGGTGAGTTACCTACTGTGGGAAGTGTATTCATTCAGGTGTGTCCGAGAGTCAGTGTCAAGTAACGTAAAGCATAATGTGTTAGTACCCCGATATAGTAGTGATATTAATGTGTCCATGTCATTGAGTGAAGTAATAAATAGTTGTATCAAGAGGTGTTTAACAAGTTGTCCCTTTAAGAAGTGATATATGTGTATTGACATACGAGATAAGATAAGCGTAGTGACGCTGTGCAAATAACATCCAGGCCACGCTGCCAAGTTTCCTATCTTTACATTCCTACTCTCTATACTTCCTACCTATATATGTAATTCTCTTCTTGTGAGATTTGTCTCATTACAGAGTACTAAGGAAGAGGATGTATAAAGGACAAATTAAAAGAAACGAGAATGACGAGGAAGATAAATAATGAGGACGAAGGAAGAAAACACAAAGGATTTTTAACTTATTTCAACCAATTAGCTATATTTTTATGTCTTCAGTTACGAGCAATATTAATTTTACGAGCCTTGGAGAATTTAGACCCAAAGAGGAGTATTCATCCTACGACACATTGAGAACTATAAGAGACTGGATAGGGAGGTCGTCAGCGCAGGTGTTGACACTTGTTATTTGTGTGACCTATGTCAACACCTGCCCCCACCTCCTCCCTTCCCCGACAACCCTCCTCCTCCCAAGTGTTATGTGACCTGCTAATACACTTTATCTATCTATCTATCTAGCTATCATCCATCGTCCTAATTCTCTTTATATATATTCCCTCTCTCTCATTGACACACTCTTTCACTCTCTCTTATCTCATACTCACTCACTCCCTTCCTTCCTCTCTCTCACTCTCTCTCTTTCACAGCACAAGCAGCTCTCCTCCTCATATCCAAACATCACTCATCTTTACCTTCAAATAACTACCTATAATAAAATTGGATCAGGTCATTAGTTCAGTACACACAGTGAATTTATACTCTCGATATATGAAAGGCCTCAACCCTCATCCCCGACTCTGTGTGATTTATGTCTTAAAATGTCGAGAACTTGATGTGATTGGTAATTTACATGTGCATACAGGGATTGAAGACGCGCGCTGTGTGTGTGTGTGTGTGTGTGTGTGTGTGTGTGTGTGTAAGTCGCCATAGAATAAACACTTCACTTGACCAGCTTCTCCCTCACACATGTTTACTCTGCTAACACGTCCTGTGGCTGCTACCTGGTCCTGGTACTACCTGGCCCTGGTACCTGACACTACCTGGCCCTGGTACCTGACACTACCTGGCCCTGGTACCTGGCACTACCTGGCCCTGGTACCTGACACTACCTGGCCCTGGTACCTGGCACTACCTGGCCTTGGTACGTGGCATTACCCGGCTCTCGTACCTGGCACTACCCGGCTCTCGTACCTGGCATTACCCGGTCCTACCTACCTACCTACCTCTCACCCTTTCCTTTTTACCCCCCCCTCTCACTCCACTCTGCTTATCTCACACTCTCCCTCGGCATTACTCCATCTCCCTCATCCATTAAATATTCCACCCGCTATGTCCAGAACGTACCCTCGCGTGTTCCACTTAGTGTCTGGTCGAGCAATTTGCAGTAGTCTTCCCTAATTATCTCGAGTGGGTTCTTGTCCACTTTCTTTATGTCTCTTTCTCTTCTCTCTCATATTCTCTTCTTACTTTCACACCCTTTTCCTAACCCTCATTCCTTTCTCTCTTGTCGTGCCTTCTTATATTCCCTCCCTTTCTCCCCTCCTCTCACCTCTCTCCCCTCCTCTCACCTCCTACTCTTTTCTTATCCCTCTTCCGTCTCCCTCCCTTCCCTTCTGCCCTCTCTCTCTCTCATCCTCTTCCCATCCCATGTTATACCTTTCCATCTCCCCTTTTTACTTTTCCTCCTTGTTTCGCCGATCCTTTTCTCTGCCTCACTCTTCTGCTCTCTCCACCACCTCTCTCTACATCCCTTTCCTGCTCACCCTCCCACTTCTCTCCTTTCCTACCTCTCCTTCCCTCTCTCCATCTCCTTCTCCCCATCTTTCTACCTTCCTCCCTCTCCTGCTCTCTCCCCCCTTCTCTCCATCTCTCTCTCCTCCTCCCTCCTTCTCCTTTCCCTCTCTTTGGTCAGAGGAACACAACCATTACAACATTTAGTGGTAAAACTGAACAGGGACCCAACACGTAATGAGACGTAATGAGTATCAAGGTTTTTGTTTCGTCTATTGAGTTTGTGTTTCATCTATTGTGTTTGTGTTTCATCTATTGTGTTTGTGTTTCATCTATTGTGTTTATGTTTCATCTATTGTGTTTTTGTTTCGTCTATTGTGCTTTTGTTTTATATATTGTTTTTGTTTCATCTATTGTGTTTGTGTTTCATCTATTGTGTTTGTGTTTCATCTATTGTGTTTGTGTCCATCATTCATCAGGTTCATCTATTGGCTTGTGTTTCATCCATGGCCCATGCTCCATCCATCAGGCCTGTGTCCCATCCACGTGCCCCAGGCTCCATCCATCAGCCCCAGGCTCCATCCATCAGGCCCAGGTCTCATCCACCTGCTCCAGGCTCCATCCACTGCGCCTTATGCCCATCCACTGGCTCATGTCTCATCCAATGGGCCAGTGCTCCATCCACAGGCCCAGGCTCCATCCATCAGGCCTTGTGCTCCATCCATCAGCCCAGGCTCCATCCATCAGGCCCAGGCTCCCATCCATCAGGCTCCATGCTCCATCCATCAGGCCCAGGCTCCATCCACTGTGCCCAGGCTCATCCACTGGCCCAGGCTCCATCCATTGCGCCCAGGCTCCATCCATCAGGCCCAGGCTCCATCCATCAGGCCTTGTGCTCCATCCAACTGGCCTTTGTCCAATCCATCTGGCCCATGCTCCATCCAATCAGGCCTCCAGGCTCCATCCATCAGGCCTGTGCTCCATCCATCAGGCCAGTGTCTCCATCCACTGCGCCCCATGTCTCCATCCATCATGCCCAGGCTCCATCCATCAGCCATTCATCCATGTGCTTTGTCTCATCCACTGTGCCGTGTCCATCCATCAGGCTATGCTCCATCCATTGTGCCTAGGTCCAATCCATCGCCTTGTGCTCCATCCATCAGGCCTATGCTCCATCCATCAGGCCCAGGCTCCATCCATCGTGCCCAGGCTCCATCCATCAGCCTGTGCCCATCCACTGTGCCCAGGCTCCATCCATCAGGCCTTTGCTCCATCCATCAGGCCCAGGCTCCATCCACGTGCCCAGGCCCCATCCACTGCGCCTGTGCTCCATCCACAGGCCTTTGTCCATCAGGCCTGTCTAATCAACAGCCGTGCTCCATCCATTGCCCAGGCTCCATCCATTGCGCCCATGCTCCATCCATCAGGCCTATGCCCATCCATCAGTGTGCTCCAGGCTCCATCCATCAGGCCCAGTCCATCCATCAGGCCTATGTCTCATCCACTGTGCCTGTGTCCATCCACTGTGCCAGCGCTAATCCATCGTGCCCAGGCTCATCCACTGCGCCTTGTCCATCCACTGTGCTCTTTTCCATCCATTGTGCTTGTCCATCCATCAGGCCCAGGCTCCATCCATCAGGCCCATGGCTCCATCCATTGTGCCCAGGCTCCATCCACCGTGCCTTTGCTCCATCCATCAGGCCCATGTCTGATCCAATGTGCCCAGGCTCCATCCATCAGGCCCAGGCTCCATCCACTGTGCCCACTCAGTGGCCTCCATTCCATCCATCGTGCTCCATGTCTCATCCATCAGGCCCATGCTCCATCCACTGTGCCTGTGCCCATCCACAGGCTCCAGTCGATCCACGCCTTGTGCTCCATCCATCAGTGCCTTGCTCCAATCCACAGGCCCATGCTCCATCCAACAGTCTCCTATGCTCCATCCATCGAACTGCCTCAATCCATCTGGCCCAGGTCTAATCCATTGCCCTCTATGCCTAATCCATCATGCCTGTGTCTCATCCATCAGTTCCAGGCTCCATCCATCAGGCCCAGGTCAACCCATCAGTTGCTGCAAGTATCAGCTCTGTCTCCATCCATTGTGCCCATGCTCATCCATTGTGTCTGTGTCTCATCCACTGTGCCTTGTTCATCCACAGGCCTTCAGGCTCCACCACGCGCCCAGGCTCCATCCATTGCGCCCATGCTCCATCCACTGTGCCCAGGCTCCATCCATCAGGCCCTGTTCCCCATCCATCAGGCCTTCGTCTCCATCCACCGCGCCCATGTCTGACCTACTGCGCCATGTGCTCCAATCCCACGGCCTGTCCAATCCACTGTGCCCAGGCTCCAATCCACTGTGCCTAGGTGTCTCCATCCACTGTGCCTGTGTCCAATCCTGTCCATCGTGCCCAGGCTCATCCATCAGCTCAGTTCATCCACTGTGGCCCAGGCTCATCCATCAGGCCTTTGCTCCATCCACAGGCCTGTGGCTCATCCATCAGGCCTGTCATCAGGCCTCCATGCTCATCCATCAGGCTCTTGTGCTCCATCCACAGGCCCATGTCTAATCCACTGTGCCTTGCCCATCCATCAGGCTCATGGCTCCATCCATCAGGCCTTGTGTCTCCATCCACTGTGCCTGGTAAGTTCATCCATCAGTGCCTTTGTCTCCATCCATCAGGCCCATGTCTAATCCATCAGGCCTGTGCTCCATCCATCAGGCCTTTGCTCCCATCATTGCGCCCATGCCCATCCATCAGGCCTATGCTCCATCCATCAGGCCCAGGTCTCATCCATTGTGCCTATGCCTGATCCATCAGGCCTCCCAGTTCATCCATCAGGCCCAGGCTCCAAACTCATCAGGCCTATGTTCATCCATCAGGCTCATGCCCCATCCATCAGGCCCTTGGTTCCATAACTGCGCCCAGGTTCAATCCATCATTCAGGCCCCATCCATCAGGCCTATGCTCCATCCATTGTGCTTTGTCTAATCCACTGCTCCTTATTCATCCATCAGGCTTCCATGTCCATCCATCAGGCCTGTGTCTCCATCCATCAGGCCTTAGTCTAATCCACTGTGCCTTGTGCTCCATCCATCAGGCCTCTTGTTCAACCACTGTGCTCAGGCTCCATCCATTGCGCCTGTGTCCATCCATGGCCCATGCTCCATCCACTGTGCCTGATGTCTATCCATTTGCCTTTGTCTCCATCCACTGTGCCTATGTCTCCATCCATTGTGCCTATGTTTCTGTCCACAGGCTCCAGGTTCCATCCATTATGCCCATGGCTCCATCCACTGTGCCCTTGCTCCATCCTATCAGGCCTATGTCTCATCCATCAGGCCCAGGCTCAATCCATCAGGCCTGCCCACCCACGGCTCCAGGCTCCATCCATTGTGCCTTTGTCTCCATCCACAGGCCTCCAGGCTCCATCCACTGTGCCTCTTTGTCTCATCCACTGCGCTCCAGGCTCATCCATCAGGCTCCATGTCTCCATCCACTGGCTCATTCCATCCCAACGTGCCTATGTCTAATCCATCAGCCTGCGCTCCATCCATCAGGCCTGTGCTCCATCAGGCCTTGTGCTCCATCCATGCGGCCCATGTCTCCATCCAATGTGCCCAGGCTCCATCCATCAGGCCTATGCTCCATCCATCAGGCCCAGGCTCCATCCCATCAGGCTCCTTTGCTCCATCCATCAGGCCCAGGCTCCATCCCACTGCGCCCTGTGGCTCATCCATCAGGCCCAGGCTCCATCCATCAGGCCCAGGCTCCCATCCATCAGGCCTTTGTCTCCATCCATCGCGCTCCAGGCTCCATCCATCAGGCCTATGTCCATCCAGCCTGTGTCTAATCCATCAGCCTTCATGTCCATCCATCAGGCCTCTGTCTCCATCCATCGTGCCCATGTCCCATCCACTGGCTCAGGCTCCATCCATCAGGCCCATGCTCCATCCACTGCGCCCATGCTCCATCCACTGTGCCTATGTCCTGATCCATCAGGCCTTGTGGCTCCATCCACTGGCCTTTGTTCATCCATTGCGCTTATGTCTCCATCCATTGCGCCTCACGTCCACTGCGGCCCAGGCCCATCCACGGCCCAGTGTGCTCCATCCATCAGGCCTATGCTCCATCCATCAGGCTCCATGCTCCATCCATCAGGCCTTGGCTCCATCCATCAGGCTCCAGGCTCCATCCATTGCGCCCATGTCTCATCCATCAGGCCTATGCTCCATCCATCAGGCCCATGCTCCATCCACAGGCCCTGGCTCCATCATCATGTGTCTATCCATCACCCAGGTCCATCCATCAGGCCTTGTGTCTAATCCATCAGGCCCAGGCTCCATCCACAGGCCCAGGCTCCATCCATCAGGCCTTTGTCTATCCATCGGGCTCCAGGTCCCATCCACTGAGGCCTTTGTCTCCATCCATCAGGCCTATGTTCCATCCATCAGCCCAGGTTCATCCACAGGCCCATGCTCATCCATCTGTGTCATGTCTCCATCCACTGTGTCTGCGTTCTCATCCACTGTGCCTATTGCTCCATCCATTGTGTCTGTGGCTCATCCATCAGGCTCCAGGCTCCATCCATCAGGCTCCAGGCTCAATCACTGTGCCTTGTGCTCCATCCATCAGGTCATTCCCATCCATCAGGCCTTTGTGCTCCATCCATCAGGCCCAGGCTCCATCCACAGGTTCATCCACTGTGCCTTATGTCTCCATCCCATCAGGCCTATTTATCCATTGTGCCTATGTCTCCATCCATCAGGCCTTGTGCCTGATCCATCAGGCCCAGGCTCATCCATCAGGCCCAGGCTCCATCCATCAGGCCCATGCTCCATCCATCAGGCTCCAGGCTCCATCCACTGTGCCCAGTTTCATCTCATCAGCCCAGGCTCCATCCATCAGGCTCCAGGCTCCATCCATCGCGCCCAGGTCTCATCCACTGCGGCCCAGGCTCCATCCATCAGGTGCCCAGGCTCCATCCATCAGGCTTCCATGCTCTGCTGTCAGTTCCATCTATTTGCCCATTCTCAATTATTTATTGTTGTACTCTTCATAAATGCAAAGTTATTTATTTTAATCTCTTTATCCTCTTATTAACGAAAGATATAATTTGTATCTAACATTTATCATTAATTTCTCCTATTATTATTCTAAATGTTCTCGTAGTTGCTATAGTAACGGAAAAAAATATACCCATTACAGTTGCTATAGTAACCAGTAAACCTCACTTAGTTGATTATGTCCCTCGTAGATTTACCATAGTAACAAAATTAACCCAAACTTTGCATAATGTCCCACGTATAGTTACCATAGCATCCGATAAACACCTCACTTAGGTAAATATGTCTTCTGCTACGGTTGTCATAGTAACAGAAAAATATAAATATATCCCCGAATAGCTTAACGCCTGTACAGTGAAGATTTAAATAATGTAATATCTGAATGGAATACTTTATAGTTTGTAATCCTTTCAATACATGATAAATGGACCTCGATATTCTCCCAGTTTAACGTGTTTCTCCACAATTCCCTTACAGGTGAGATGGTGAGGTGTAATGAGAGATGAGGAGGTGTGTGGGGAGATGAGGAGGTGTGTGGGAGATGAGGAGGAACGTGGGGAGAATGCAGGGAGGTGTGGGGAGATAGTGAGGGTGTGGGCAGGGGAGATGGGAGGGGAGTGTGTGGGGAGATGAGGAGGGGTGTGGGGAATGAGGAAGGGTGTGTGGGGAATGGTGGGGTGTGTGGGGAGATGAGGAGGGTGTGTGGGGAGATGAGGAGGGTGGTGTGGAGGTGGGGGTGTGGGGAGATGAGGAGGGTTGTGGGAGATGGTGAGGGTGTGGGGATGGTGTGTGGGGATATGGGGGGAGTGGGGATGGGGTGTGTGGGGATGAGGAGGGTGTGTGGGGATGGTGTGTGGGGATGAGGAGAGTTGTGGGGATGGGAGGAGGGTGGTGGGGATGGGGTGTGGAATGGGGGTGTGGGGAGATGAGGAGGGTGTGGGGAATGGGGTGGGGATATGAGGAAGGTGTGTGGGAGATGAGGAGGTGTGGGAGATGAGAAGGGTGTGTGGGAGATGAGGAGGGTGTGTGGGGGAGATGGGGAGGTGTGGGGAGATAGTGAGGGTTGGTGGGGAGGGGAGAGGGTGTGGGAGACAGTGGGGTGTGTGGGGAGATGAGGGGAGGAGAAGGGGAGGGTGTGTGGGGAGATGAGGAGGGTGTGGGGAGATGAGGAGGGTGTGTGGGGACACAGTGGGGGAGATGGGGGTGTGGGGATGGGGGTGTGGGGAGATGGGGTGTGGGGAGATGAGGAGGGGGTGTGGGATGAGGAGGGTGTGGGGAGATGGGGTGTGGGAGATGGGGGGGTGTGGAGATGAGGAGGTGTGGGGAGATGAGGAGGGTGTGTGGGGAGATGAGGAGGGTGGGGTGTGGGGAGATGGGGGGAGGGGTGTGTGGGGGAATGGGGAGGGTGTGGGGTGGGGAGGGGGGTGTGGTGAGATATGTGAGGGTGTGTGGGGAGATGGGGAGGTGTGGGGAGATGAGGAGATGTGGGGAGATGAGGGAGGGTAGTGGGAGATGGTGGGGGTGAGTGGGAGATGGGGGACGTGGGGGTGTATGTGGGACGGTGGGGTGTGTGTGGGGTTGTGGGGTGGGGATGGTGGGGTCAGTGGGGGGAGGGTACGGGGAGATGGTGAGGTGGGGAGATAGGAGGGGTGTGGGGGATGAGGAGGGTGTGGGGGATGAGGAGTGGGGAGATAAGGAGGGTGTCTGGGAGATGAGGTGTGCATGGGATGTGGGAATAAGGAGAGTATGGGGATGTGGGGTGTGCGGAGATGGGGAGGGTGCGTGGGGATCATGGAGGACGTGTGAGAATGTGGGGAGGGAGGGTGGAGATGGGAAGGTATATTTGGGAGATGAGAACCGTAATGAGTGTGCGTGATGTGTGTGTGTGTGTGCGTGCGTGTGTGTGTATTTT